CGTGCTGGAGGGGGCGGCGGGATCTGGCTCCATCATCCCCCAAACCCTCTGTCCCAGGGGCTGGGCAGCATCAGCTGAGATTCAGGAAATATTTCTAAAACGACTTTGTAATCAGAAATGATGGACTCTTTTTTTTTCTTTTTTTTTTTTTTTAATAGCCGCCGGGACTGTGCAGTGCTTGGATGTGGTGAAATTGGTAACAGAGGGGCTGATCAGGAGTGGGGGTGCCTGAGGCCAGGGCAGGCAGCAGGGAAACCCCCCAAAACCAGGGATACAGGCAGTCATAGAATCATCAAATCACTGAATGGTTTGGGTTGGGAGGGACCTTAACGCCCATCTTGCCATGGGCTGGGACACCTTCCACTAGGCCTGGATGCCCAAACCCTGTCAGACCTGGCCTCGACAACCTGTCAAAGTGATCAGCTGGTTTATGACTAAAACCAAGGAGCTTGCATATTGCTTTAAAAAGAAGTGAGAACGGTACACATCCTCCCATCAGTGAGGACCTCAGCATTACTAACTTTTATTAACTCTGTGATCAAAGTATTTAACTGCTATTTAACTGAAATAGTGTTTAATTTTAGTGACTTCCATAGGATACACATTTAAGTTGAAACCCTTCAAAATATTTTTTTAATTGAAGCATACGTGGAAAGCACTTGAGATCCCTTGGGAAGCTACTCAATACTTGGTGTGACTTTTTTTTTTTTTTTTTTCCTAGTAGCATTGAGTTCTGGTGTCTTTTGTCACACCGCGCTGCCGCAGGTTGGGGTGGGAAGCAGCACTGAGACCGGAGGTTTGGTGGTTGGAAAGCTTTGATAGAAACCCGGTGCTGTGTGGGCCCGTGGGCTTGGCGTGTGCTCACCTGGGTAGAGGCAGGTCAGCACGTTGCAGTGGAAATCCATTTGTCTGATAATCGTGTCTTTTGGCTATTCCAGGCAAAAAACGAAGAGGCAGCCAGGTCGGTGTCTGTGTTGGGGTGCTTTGGTCCTCACCTGGAGGAGGGCTCCTAATGCCAAAGAGCTGTTGGGCACTTGTGGTAGCTCATGGGCTGAAAGCATAAGCAAAATTTTTTTTTTTTTTTTTTTTTTTCTCAAAGGCAAATGAAAAGTTCAAAAGGTCTTTAACCTGCTTGAAATTTTTTTTGTGGGGGTCCTCTGGGGAAGATATTTGCAACCCTTTGATAAAGATGTTTCCCCGTAGGCAAAACTGAAGACAAAACCTGAAAGTCTGTAATAATCAAGTGCAATTTAGAATTCATTGCGTTGTCTGTACAGTAAGTTTTCACAGTACCGATAAACTTTTTTTTTTATCTGAAGGGGAAGGTCTTGAATTACCCTTTCTGGGTAAGAGTCGATCTTCATATCTCACAGTGTTAGCTGTCTTGTTGAATAAAGTTATTTCTGTTCTTTCGGGTGTTTTTTCTTCAAGGAGGAAGATCTCATGGTTTCAGTTTTTAATGTGTTAGACAATGTCAGTGGGCAGAAGGCAGGTTTTGGTGTGCTCTGGTTGCAGGGGTTGTGTGTGATGGTAGAGAGGGCACCGGTGCAGACCAGGGGGAGCGGAGGAGGTTGGTGGGTTTTGGAGAGGAGGTTGAGCCCGCTCTGTGCTGGACACGAGACCCCTGGGCGGTCTCAGCAGGGTTGGGCTTTCTATGGCTGCTGGTCTCCTTCCTCCCTGGCAGACGACGGAGATATGCGAGGGCGGTGCTGGGGTGTGATCTAGCGTGTGCCAGAGGACCACCACGTCTGTCTGACTGTTGGTCTGTACACCTGTGTGGGGGAGGCTCACCGCCTGCTCTGGTGCCCTGAAGACCCCGGGAGGGAGAGGCTGGCTTTGGGCAGGGGGGTTGAGCTGTTCTCTCGAGCCGTGTGCTGGCCAGGCGCGGCAGCGTGGCCTGGGCTGGTTTCTCCTGCACCAACCTAGTGGTTCAGTTGTGCAGATCTGCCCCGTGACAATGGGTCTTTTGGGGTCAAGAACAGGAAACAGGGTACAACTCACCAACTTCTTGTTGACGATGCTGCGCTAGAAGAGGAGGCACGTCAGAAACGGCTCCTCTTCTCGCCCCCTGCGCACACAGCCCTCAGCAGGTGGATATTTGGTGGTCGCGTGTCCCTTTGCGGTGACTTTGCTGCCCGGTTCCGCCACCTTTGCTGCGTTTCCCCGCTGTCGGTGAATTATCGCTTAATAATCTCTCTGTTGGTGCCTCAGCTGCTCTCTGCGTGTCAGTCCCTTCCCATCGAAACGTGCTGCCCGTCTCGGGTGTTTCGGCCTGGCCTGTTTGCTTGAGAAGTGCAGAGCTGAGGAAGGACACTCAGAAGGGTTTGTTGTTTCAGTGGACAAGTATCACCTTACTATCCAGGATGTAGTTTTTCTCGGCAAAAACAGATTTGGGGAAACGACCATTGGTAGGAAGAAATCTGCAAGTTTTTTCCCCTCAGGGGTATATCGATGACAGTATTTTACTGCTATTTTCAAGGCATCTGACTCTTGAAACTCATGTAAATGCGGGATGATTAATGATGATTAGATAAAACCCTTTCAAGAAGTTTTTTTGGAAATGCTTACAGCAAACTCCGGTTTCTTTCTAAGAACTTCTTCCCTCCTGCTACTCTGGGCGCGGATGAAAGCCCCTCGCTCTCAACAAGTCACCTCCTGGGCCAGCTTCCAGTTGCTTTGACAAATCAGATGTTGTGGTAGAGGTTGATAAATCTCTGAGGTGATCGTTCAGTTGATTGCAAAGCAAGAGAGTGGACACGATGACCCCTCAGACACCTGGTCTGTGCTCTCAAGTATTAACAATTATTGGGGTAGTCCTTTCTTCGTGGAATTATTTAGCAAGAGCGGGAGAGAGAACTTCATCAAAGGCAGGGAAATCACCAAAACTTCTCTTTCAACTGACTGATGAATCTTTAATAAGGGGATTGATGAAACTTTAATAAGGAAGCCCTGCTTCAGGAGCGTTACTCATCTGTGCTGGTGGAAGACTTCAGCTATCCAAGCAGCTAAGGCTTGCGTTATTTTGCTGCTTTCCTTGGCTCTTTGTGGGGAAATTGCATCTTCTTCTCCAAAATAAGAGTCAAATCAGAAGTAAACAACCTTTCTGCTCAGGTACCCAGTAGGAAGCCAACAGAAAAGTAATTTTTCTAGACAACATTAGTTTTCATAAGACTTAGAGAAGATGTTTCATGAATTTTTCCCACCCGGTGACAGCTCGAATTAGGAGTGAGTGCAGGCTCTTGGAGGCCAGGTGTTTGACCTAACCCAGCAGTCTGTGCTCGTCCTCAGGCGAATAAACGGACTTGTAATAAACAGTTGGATTAGTTGGACACTGATGCTTTTTTTTTTTTTTTTTTTAAATTTCTGTTGTGACTCTGTCAGAATAATCTGGTTTTCATCTGTCTGTGGCTGAAGGATCAAAACTTTAATATTTGTGGGATTTTTCTTGCATGTGTGCCGGTTAATTAGTGCGTACGCAGGTGTCTTCAGTGAATTCTTTTTGGCATTGACAAACGCAGTATACGTAATAGAAGGGTTTTTGTGATGCTTACTGAAAATATTTGACTTCTGTTTTGCTAATTCAGGGTTTACTTTGTTGGCAAGTGATTGTTTATGAAGAGTTAGGAGCAAAGCTGCCAGAAGTGAGCGCGGTAGCCTCAGGAGCCCCAATTAGCCACAACTTAGCGGCAACAAAGCAGGTTCCGTTCCCAAACCCACTGACCCACTCTTTCCCTGACGCCAGCTGCGAGCAAAACACCATTTGGCGTCTGAAAGTCAGAACTTTTGAGGTGTCTGAAGCCAGAGCTGGGTGGCGAAGCCTGGGTGAGGGCTGTCCGGGCTGTGTCGGGGAATAAGGGGACGTTAAGGCAGGTTGCCTTACGCGGAGCAGCACCCCGAGGGCCGCCGGCCGAGGCCCCGTCTTCCTCACAGAGAAGCAGACAGAAAAATGAAATCCTGTGAGCTCAGGAATGCCTGAAGTGAGGAGTCTGATCAAATACTGTGTAGTTTGGGTTGGTTTTTTTTCTTTTTCTTTTTTTTTTCAGAGCTACAGTTGGCTCTTATTGCCTAAAGGATTTCCACATGAACTGAAAACATTTGCTGAATGACATAATAAGCTAATGATTGCTTAATTTTTGAATACATAGCTCAGTGTAGAGGGAGTAACAGCTGGTGTTTGTCAAATTAGGTTTTCTACTTAAGATTTTTACCACTCATTTTCTTGTTTATTTAACATATTTAACCAAGACTGAGCTCTGAAGGTCTTCCCTGCAAGCTTGTTAGACTTAAAGGTAAATATTCCATAGTCTAAAGTGCGTTTGAGTCTTGATTTGAGGGACTTCCGAGTTGCCATGTGAAACTGCTGGACGTTTCCTGCAGGGCGTGTTTTCAAGATGGAGGATACTTGTGCGTGAACTTGTAACACTCAGGTATTTGTGTGCTAATACAGGAGAAGAGCTGGGCAGATATCAGTAATGTTGGATGGTTAATACAGCAAGTAACAAAACATTCAGATTTGAAATCAGACAGCTTATATTTAGGAAAATTCAGAATAATGCATCATTATGAAGCTGAAGGGAGCGGAAGAAAATGCCCTCCAATGTGTTCAAGTATTTGACTTTTTTACTGAGATTTTTTTTCATTTGAATTTAATAACCGCACAGTTTATGAATGACTCACTGCTGTCTTGTCCCTCTAGGTTGTAATGATATGTTCATGTATATGGGGGTTTAATATCTAAAAATGCACCAATCACAAGCTAGGACTTCAAGGATATTGGTTAAGAAAAGGGGCTTTGAGAGTCCTCATAAAAGCACATTATATAATATATTCCAAATCGAGGGTCTCGCTAAGGGGGACATGCCAACAGCGGAGGCCGCATGGGAAATGTTACAGGCTTGTTCCACCTTGCATTGAAGTTCAGACTGCTGAAAATCCTTGTACGTAAATCCACTGGTTTCTACTTAAAAATAAACCCTGCTGTGTCTCTCGCCCTCCCGCAGGTGGTTGCCAGAACAGCCTTAAGCCAGTCGGGGGCAATCAGACCCTGGCGCTGGCCGCCGCGGCCACCACCGCGGTGGTGTCGGTGGAGCCTGAAGCCCCGCAGGGACCGTCGGCCACGAGCCACATCCAGCCCTGCCACGTGCTGACCTTCTCGCCCATCAAAATTCCGGTTTTGGCTTCGCCTTTTCCAGGTAAGGCGGCACTAATGAGCGTTTTGTTTGCTCGGCAGCAGAGAGAGGCCGCTGAGCGTGAGTTTTGGTGTGCGTTGGCAAAGCTTCAGGGGATGTAGGTGGCGTTAATAACCTGGAATTACAGTTATCTTTTCTGCTGCGGTTTAGGGGTGTTTACTGAGATTGCGTGTTAAGATTGAGTTCAAAACTCCATCTGCATTTGCAGTGTTTATGTCGCTGTGGCGTTTGCAGGCAGTGGATGAAGTGAGCTGTGTCCTCTGTCACCTTAGTGACTTGTGGAAGAAAATGGGGTTGTAGTGGCACCAGGTCTTTGCAGCAGGTCCTCAGCTTGCAACGCTGGCGGTTGAAAGGCATCTGCTCTCCATGCAATAATATTTGATTAAGACTTAAGTAGGTTGTTTGGGTGTTTAGAATTATGGAATACGCGTGAAGAACGTAGCCGTAGTTTTGTATTTTCCCTGGTAGGTTTAGATGTGGCTGCTTACTGGGAAAAAACGCTGTTTTCTTAGCATGACTTTTGTGTAACAACCTTCTGAACGGAGCAGGTGGGGGTGTACCATGGCATCCCTGACGTGCTGTGGAAGGCGGCCTGGTTTAAACTCTTCAGGCTAATTTTTGAATCTGTTTGTACTTTGAATGCTTAAGGCTGTGTTTTAGAAAAGTTATGTACCAATTAAGTTAAAAATTTAAATTAGGGTGCGTTTTCCATCTTTTTGGTACGTGAAGTGTAACGCAGTGAGGTTACAGTGAGATTGAATTCCGCAGGAGGCGCGCAGTTGGGATTGTCGGTGTTCAGATGAAATCTTTTCATGAGAAATGTATCTCAGTAATTATTGTTCCTGTTGAGCAGTCATTAGAGTCACCCGGAGACGTGCCTGCCAAGGCGCGCGGCAGTGGTTTTGCCTTCAGGGAGTCTGAAGAGCAAAGTGACCCATAGGAACAACGGTACAAGTCTTTCAGGCTTTGTCAAGGAGGGACGGTGCTGAAATAAGAGCAGAACTGGAGTTACTCGCGGCTGTAGGGCGGAGAGTTGGTGGTGCTTCCCACGCAGTATTATTTGACCCACAGAAACCATTTTATCTCTTTGTGAGTGTCTTAGAGGAGAATCCAAAAGGGGAGAGAGGGGGAAAAAATAATCGTTCTTTGTGTGCTGAAAAGCAGAATTACATGCCAGATGTGTTCTTCCCCGAATTGAGATGCTCGGGCCATCGGGGAAGGAGCCGTCGCAGGGCCTTTGATTTATGGCTGCGGGGCTGAGCTCTGCTGGAGGGTGTTGGACATGGTCGAATATTGTAATGCCGGGAGGCTCTGCCACCTCGAGAGCTGCCTCAGCTCTGCAAGGATAAACATGTCAGGCCATGATAATTGTTGCTTTCCTTTCGAATGAGTGTACGATAGGCTATCAAGTATCACACCGAGGGCCTGAGCAATCATCCTATTATCAATCATTCACAGCAAACCACACACTTCTGGGTGTTTTCTCCTACAGAATATATAGTAGCTTTTTAAGGAAGAAAGCTTGAAAATGCCCGGTCCATGTGCAGTAAACTTGAGAGCCAGCTAACTGTTTTTCTCTATTAATCACCGTCTCTGGAGGGAAGGCTAGTGCCTTTGCAAAGGCTTACATAAAACATTTTTATGAAATTCCTTTTTATTTTGTTGGCGGAGAAGAGGACTCAGAGGTGTTGGGTTTAGATTATCCTTGTCAACACCAGCTTGAAGAACACGGCGGGGGGCGGACCGCGCTGGAGCTGGGCTGGCACCCGCTGTCTGGGCCCAGGAAGGTACAACCACAGCCACTGGCTAAAAAAAAAAAGGGTGAAGGCTTCTGCAGGTGCTAACGAAGGAGCCGGAGTTGTGATGGGTGTGAGTGAAAACAGGGGACAAGCACGTGTGGAAGCTGCCCGGGTTCTCTGTCGCCGGAACGCGGCGGGCAGGGTGCTGAAACTGGGTTTGACTTCATCGACAGGAAGAAATGGTCAGTTGGCCAAAGGCAGGTCTCTGCTGTCAGAAATAAACGTCTCCATTGCCGCGTAGATTAACAGCTGGGAAAGCATCAGGAAAGCGTAATCTGCCGTACAGATAATCCCCGGTGTGCAGTGTGCTTTTATAACCCTGTTGGCCTCTCAGTTTAAAAACATCCGTGCGTTGGCGTTTATTAAAGATGACTTATTGTTCTCCAAGAAAATTACATCTCGGAGAAAGCGTAATCTGTGGACCCCAGGGGCAGCTGCGTTTTTCTTGATCCAGGTGTGATTTATAAAGTAACGTGGTAATTAATGAACTTTCCATGTTCTCCTTGTCTAAAGTTTATGCAAGGCAGTGTTCACGTAATGGGAGTGAACTCGGGAAACAAAGGATTAATTTATTTCTAACTTAAATCTACGTGTATATTGGTGCCTGTAAGGCTGAACAGTGTGTGCTTAGTTGTATGCTGTTAATTGATTATACTGAAGATTGGTGTTATAATACTACCTTGTTTCTAATCACAGTGGTTTGTTCGATCAATAATCTTATAATTGAGTATGTACTTTTAAGGGCTTTTGATATGATTAGTTTTGCAGCCTTACAGTTCGGCCGTGTTACTTTCTGCCAGCCTTATTAGTAAACTTGGTGAGAAATTAGTAAACTTAGTAAGAAATAAAAAGTTTCTCATTTGGTTTTAAAAAAAAAAAAAGTGGTCTGGAAATATGTGGGGAAAATCCCAGAATTCTGTTCCAGAGGGCGGCTTGATTAGTTTCCGGAGAAAGATGGTACTTGAAAGTTTTGCAGATGAAAACTGATGCACCTGAGACTTGATTTCCAGATATATTTTTTTTTTCCTCTTCTGCCATTTCTGCCTCAAAACTGCTGATCTCCCACCAGTGCCGTGCTGCTGGGTTTTGTAACGCAGTTGTGAGGTGCTGGCACGGCGCCAGATACATCAGCTTTCTGTCTGCTAGAACACGGGATTCTGTCTTAATTCCTTGTAGCATTTTCCCACTAAGTCTCAGCGTGCTGCGTTGATGCCATTTTTGTTGGCGAAAGTCCTTTATTGTCCCCCCTCCCTCATAGTTTTAAACAACATCAAACATTTCCATCTTTCTTCTTCGATGGCATCTTTGATGCGCTTGTTTTCTTTTACTGAGGTTTCAGTGGTTTTAACATGGTGCTGGACATCATCCCCTTACGGTGAGTTCTGCTTCTGACCTGCTCAGTGGGGACTACTGGCAGTAGCCCCTCGGGGAGCTTGGCTAGAGCAGTTTTTCTAGTTTTAAGCTGTTAAGAAATGAGGGGTGTCAACCACATAATATGTAATGTGAGATAAAATGCTGAATTAACAACAACAACAACAACAACAAAAAATAGCCATCTTCTAATGATTAATATCCTGAATATTATAAGTAGACTTCTTTCTGAATTTGGCTAAAGTTGTAATTATTAGTGGCTCCTGCAATGATAAAATTATTTGGCACCACTTTCACTATCTTCCAACCACTGTTGAGCCTCCCGCGGTCGGTTTTGGGGAGGTCTGTGTTGTGGTCAGCCAGGGTTTGCTCTTGGAGAGAGGGGTGCTCAGGTCTGCAACCTGAAATGCTCATGCTGCAGTTACCAACTTCTGGAGGATCATAAGATGGAGTTGTTTTACCTTACGCTTTATCCGCGATGACTTGAGATGAGTCTCAGCCCAGCTGGAGAAACAATATCAATCCTGTTGGCTAAACAAATGTGGAAACGTTGGCAGCTGAGTCATTCATAAGCTCTTCACTGAAGCATCTTTGTGTATCCAACGTGGCCATGTGAACGTTGTCTTTAATCATTAGTGACTGGTGGAAAAAAATACCAAAATTTGAATACTAACCAACGCCATTATCCCTGGAAAAAAAGCAGAGGAAAACCAGCTGGGTGGGAAGCATCACTTGCTGTCCAGTTCTCCCTCCAAAGGGGTTTTGCTCCGATGCAGAGATGGTCTGTGGCGGGGGCAGCCTTGTCTTGGGGCTTGTGCGTGGGCACATTCACTAGAACAAAACTCAGGTACCCGGGGATGGAGCCGTTCAGAAGCACCATGCAGCGACAAGGGTCTGAGCACGATGTGTCTGTCCTCTCCGCTGAGCGTGGGGACAACTGCCCTCCCATCAGTGAGCGAAAATGGAGAAGGTTCCAGCAATGCTGCTGAAGCTTTTTTTTTTTTTTTTTTTTTTTTTTTTTTTTTTTTTCACCCGCTGGTGATTCTGCTCATACATGTACCAGACAAAATGTTCCCTTAAATATTTAATGTCAGCCTTGCCGTCAACTTCGGGTTTGTGCCAGATTTAACATAAAGCCTAAATAGGAGCGTGTAGAGATGCAGCTACTCGGTGATCTGGGCTGCATCTTCACGCTTATTTGCTCTGCTGGTAAAGGGAAAACTTAATTTTCCAATGCTATCAAGCCAAGTCTTTGAAGAGAACTCTATCTTAAAAAAATCCAAAATGCAATAAACTTTGGGAATGTAAACAGTAATGTGGAGTAATTGAGGTATGGGATATCTAGTAGTCTTTAATACCACTTTTATGGCTACTGTATTAAGAATTGGGGTATTTATTTTCTTACCCTCACATACGATTTCTTAATTATTCCAGTGAAAAAGGTAAGATATGAGTCTGTGGTTATGGACTCTGTAAATTAGCAGTGAGTACAAATATTAAAAAAGGCACCATCTGCCATATAAACCATTTGCCACCTGTTCCCTTGCTTTCAGAATTATCTAATGGTTTAAATTTAATGTTTTAGCCTGCCACAGAACAGCTGGGAAGTGACTAAGTATTTTTCCTATCAGTACCTTAACGGCCAAGCAACATTATATGTTAAACCCAACTCTTAATGCCAGCGTTTTTCTACATGCTCTCTCATGTGTCTGTCAGCTTGCTTCATTAGTGAATTCTGCTGATACAAAACACGTTTTCATAACAACAATTACTCCGTTATTTTTATGGTGGCTTTTGGAAGAAACAGCTTCTCTTCCTCAGCAAGCAGAAGTG